AGGTAGTTAAAGTCACTGCATGGAATGGTGTGTTGGAAAAGACGCTGAAGCTTCCTTTTAGGCTAAATAGAAAAGGGAACCACGATTAATTAGTAATGTCTGCCCTTAGCATAGACAGGAAATGGTGGCAGGCGTGCTATAGATTCACTGGCTAAGGACTAGATTGCTCCTAAGTTGAAGTCAGACAAGACAGTTTATACTGATCCCTTTTGCCTGGAAGGAGACAGAGGGAGCTTCACCTTTCATCTGTGAGTCTTAGGAAAAATGGAAAACATTAGCTTACAGTAGCTGACAGGCAATGAAATAAAAATGAGAAGTTGGCATTTCATCCAAAATGCAAGCTGTCACAATCAGTCAAAAAGTAGAAAAGAAATTGAATTCATGCCTAATGGGAAAACAGAGTCAACTAAGTCCACTGCAGTTCCCTCAGTCATCCAGCAAATATTTAATGAGCAGTCCTTCTGTGCCTGGCAGTTGGCTATGTGCTACATATTCACTGAACCAGTCTATATAATGGAATTTCTATCTTCAAGGAGCTAACAATTCAGTAAAGTGAGCAGGGAACACAAAGACCCAACACAATAAGAAATAAGCAGGATGTTTAGAGATTGTGATAAGGGCTGTTTGAAGAAAACACATAGGGTGTTATGCTATGTATTGGAGAATGGGTCTATCAGGGCAACCTCTGTGTACTAATCAACTTCATGTTACTGTGATGAACTACCTGAGTCAATTAACTTTATAAAGAAAAAGGGTTTATTTACTTCATAGTTGTTGAAGGTTTAAAGTCCAAATGGCATAGAGCAGGGTTGGTGAGGACCACCCCTTGACTTTATCACCACTTGCCAGGAATGGCAAAGGCAGGGGACGTGTGTTGGAGCAAAAGACTCACATCTCCAGTTAGAGCAGGAAAAGAGAAAACCTATCAGAATCTCACAATCCCATAATCCCTTTAGAGGACATGCCTCATGACCTGAGCACCTCCCATAAGGCTCCACCTCCCAAAGGTTCCACTGCTTTCCAGGAACATCACACTGGGCATCAAGATTTTACATATGGACCTCAAGGAGCGCTCAACCTCCAAACTAGGACAATCTCTGAGGAGGTGACTTTTAAGGAAAGCTCTAAATATGAGTCAAAGGTAGCCAGGTGCCAGGTACTTCCAGGAGGCTACACAGATAATATTGTTACAAATATTCATGAGTAAATTTTTGTACAGATGTATATACCTAGGAGAGCAATTCCTGAATTATATGGTATTATGTTAACCACGAGACTGTGTTCACAAAGCAGCTGCACCATTACATGTCCACTAGCAGTTTATAAGGGGTCCAATCTCCACATCCTCATCAACACTTAGTATTATCTATCTTTTTTTATTCTACCTATCATAGTGAGAAAGAAGTGCTATCTCATTGTAACTTTGGTTTGCATTTGCCTGATGGCTAAGGGGGTTGAGTAACTTTTCATAGGCTAATTGGCTGTTGTGTCCTTGGTGAAATATCTGTTTAGATCTTTTGCTTATTTTTAATGGAGTTATCTTTTTATTACTGGAATTGTAATAGTTTGTTATGTGTTGTAGATACAAGTACCTTATGAGACATGATTCACAGATATTTTCTCTCTGTAGTTTGTCCTTTGACCCTCTAAATGGTGTCCTTTGATGCACCAATTTTTATGTTTATCTATTTTTCTTTTGCTTTTCATGCTTTTGTCATCATATCTAAGAATTGTTTGTCAAATCCAAAGCCATGAGGTCCTATAGTGCTGTACCCAATTTACTGGTATTTTGCTGGTAATTTTTGCATCTATATTTATAAGAAATACCGTTCTGTCATTTTCTTGTAATGTCTGTGTTGTTTTGGTATCAGGTTAACATTGGCTTTACAGAATAAGTTGATAAGTATTCTCATCTCTATATTTTAGAAAAGTTTGTGAAAATTTCAGTTTCTTTTTTTTAATTTTGGTAAAAATATATAAACATAAATTTTACTCTTTTAACCATTTTAAGTGTCCAGTTCAGTGGCATTATGTACATTCATGTTGTTTTGCAACCATCATCACACCATCTGTCTCCAGAACTTTCTTCATCCTCCCAAACTGAAATCCCATGCCTTTTATGGATACTATTTTCTTCTTTAAATGTTTGGTAGACTTCACCCAACATACAGTGAAGCTATGTGATACTGGGCTTTTCTTTGTGAATATTTTAAGTTATTAATTCAACCTCTGTACTAGTTACAGATTTATTCACAGCTTCTGTTTCTTCTTGAGTTCATTTGCTAGGTTTTGCATATATCCATAAATGTGTATATTTCATTGAAATTGTCCAATTTATGGGCATTTCATTGTTCAAGTATGCCTTGACAACTCTTACTTCTGTAAGGTCTGTATTAAATGTCCCCTCTTTCATTTCTGATGTTGGTACTTTTAGTCATCCCTCCCTCTATCCACTTCACACCTTGATCATTCTGGATAAAAGCATAGTTTTGTGGGGTTTTTTTGTTTTTTTTGTTTTTAGCTTTTTCAAAGAACTGACTTTTTAATTCATGATTTTTCTCTACTGTTTTTCTATTCTCTATTTAACAATTGCCACTCTGATCTTTATTTCTTTATTCTTTGTTCTTGCTTAGGATTTAAATTGCCCTTCTTTTTCAGTATGTGAGGGTGGAAGGTTATTTGTTGATCAGAAATCTTGGCTTTTCTCTTTTTAATGTAGACATTTACAGCTACAAATATTCCTGTGAACACTGCTTTAGCTGCATCTCACAAGCTTTGGTATGATGTGTCTTCCTTTTAACTCATTTCAAAATATTTTTTAATTTCCCTTATGATTTTCTGTTTGAGTGATTGGTTATTTATTAGTGCACTGTTTTATTTCTATATAGTGAAATTTTCATAAATTTCTATTAATTTCTAGTTTCACTTCATTGTGATCAAAAAACATACTTTGTACAACATCAATCATTTAAAATCTATTGGAATTCATTGTATGGCCCAGCATATGGCCTATTTTGGAAAACATTACATGTATGCTTGAGAAGAACATATATTCCATTGTTATTGGCAGAGCATTCGATGGATGTCTCTTGAGTCCAATTCATGTACCATGTCATTCAAGTTTTCCATTTCCTTTTTTATCTTCTGTCTGGTTTTTCTTTACCTAATTGAAAAGGGAGTATTAAAGTCTACAGCTGTTACTGTTGTGTTATCTGTATTTCCTCTCAATTTGTTAGCCTTAGTTTACATATTTTGGAACACTGTTCTTAAGTGCATATATGTTTATAATTGTTGTGACTTATTAATTAACCCTTTATTATTATAAAATGGCCTTCTTATCTCCAGTGACACTTTTTGTTTTAAAGTCTATTTTTTCTGATACTGTTTTTATGGCCACTCCAGCTTTCTTATAATTATGTTTGCATAGTAGATATTTTTCCATTCTTTTACTTCCGCTTCAGTTCCCAAGTAAGACGACTCTAGATAATACATAGTTGGATCTTGCCAGTCTGGCAATCTCTGCCTTTGATCGGCTTGTTAATCCTACTTTATTTTACACCTTGTATCTGTCTCATGTCTTCTTTGTGTTCCTCTATTTCTCCTTTTTGCTTTAAGTGAATATTTTCTAGGGTAATCCTCCGACTTTCGAGTATGTTCCTTTCTGGGAGAACATTAGTAAGTTGGATTCATTCAAGAGTCTGACAAAGTGAGGCTTATACACATTGGACACATATATACAAGGTAAAGCATAAAAAACCCAAACACACATAAAAATTCAGTAAGTCTCCAACTGCACTGTACTATTATACACTATTGCACCGTGCACAAGCACCAGCAGCACCACTGTCTCATGGCAGGTACATGAGCTACTTCTGTGATGTGTTCACATCTGTGAATGTTCATAATGCAAGATCTCTTCCTATCTATGAGACTTGAATGTTCATGAGTCAGGGACTTGCTGTATTTCAATTCCTTTATTGATTTTTACCCCCATATTTGTTTGAGTTATGTTCTTAGTGGTTGCTCTTTACCATATATGTCTTATCAGACTCTCCTTCTTAGTTATACAAACTTGATCCAAATGAGAAGTAAGCTACCCCAGTCACTCCTGTATAACTCTACTCTTTCTTCCCTCTTTTTGTGCTATTATTATTATGCAGTAGAGAGTTTCTTACCTAACTCATGATGGTCTAGTGGAGAGATCAAGGTCCAGAGAGGGCCTGGCTTAGTCATGTATTGGCTGCATGACTCCAGGTGAGTGATTTGATATCCTTGAGCCTTAGTGTCTCTACTTGTAAAATGAGAAGGATGAACGTAACTCCAAAGACGAAATGGAATCTTAGTTCTAAGTCTGTACATAGTAGGAGCTCTGAAAATGCCTAGATTTGGTCCTCATCTTTGATTCCAGAAGTCCACTTAGCCTGGCATCCTCAGATCAGAGAGCCAGGAAGCACGTATGTCTAGCCAAAAGCACGTGCGTGCCTCTCCAGGGGAGCATCTTCCAGTGAACTTCAGCAAGCAAAGGCTTGTATTTCAGGCAAGGACAATACTTATAGGCCCTTATACTCCTTATCTTTGCCCCTCTATGCATCTCCTGCCCCTTCTCAACACCTTGGTAAAGTCAACCTCAGACCCTAGTAGAGGCCCTGTGTAGTACTGACAGCCTTCAGTTCTAGCCTTCGCTCTGCCACTGTTTTTTTGTGGCCCTGGACAGGTCTGTTGCCCTCTTCAAGATTCCCTTTCCCTCTCTGTGGTTAGCTGGCCTCCTGGGGCAGAGTTTTCAGAGCACAAGGAAGGTGGTCATTCCTGCAGGCAGTGAGGTGGAGCTCTGATCCCTTCCTTCCTTGCTCGAGGAGCAGCCAGGAGAGAATTTGTGGGTCTGGCCCCAGATTATCCTCCATTTATTTCAGGACAAGTGACTCATAGGGCAGCAGAGGTGGAGAAGAAAGGTGTGTGGTGGGCCTGGGCCTCAGCTCAGAGTCCTCTCTGTCTATCCACAGTAGCACGATACAACCGCACCAGCTACTTCTACCCCACATTCTCAGAGAGCTCGGAGCACAGTCACCTGCTCGTGTCTCCCGTGCTGGTGGCAAGTGCTGTCATAGGTGTGGTCATCATCCTCTCCTGCATCACCATCATCGTGGGCAGCATCCGCAGGGACAGGCAGGCCCGGCTCCAGCGCCACCACCACCGTCACCACCGGCGCCATCATCACCACCACCGCCGGCGACGCCGACACCGAGAGTACGAGCACAGCCACGGTGAGCTGCTGCCCACCTGGGGAGCCGGGATGACTGCCCCCTGTGACTAAACCCGGGAGGCTTCAGGGAGGGGGCTGCTCTGCCATAGGTAGGACTGGGTGGTCAAGAAGGTGCCCTGCTGGTCTTGGTCATCAGAAAGAGTTCACAGGTGCCCACTACGGTGTGCTCTGTAGCATGAGAGGCCCCATGTGGTCAGCCAAGAGAGGACTCAAGGTGAGACTGAAGGCCAGGGCGAGAGTGTTTCATTGTTTCTCAGCTGGTACCAAAGTGGAGGATGGATGGAGAGATGGATGGGTGGTGGGTGAATGAGTGAATGCGTGAAGATGGGGAATGAATTGGTAGGGAGATGGATGGGTGACGGGTTGAGGGGATGGATGTGGGTGGGGAGGATGGATAGATGGGCAGATGGAAGGAGGGATGACGGCAGGGTGGTTGAGCAGGGTAAAAGAGACTGGCAAATAGTGAGTAGAAGGTGAATAGACAGGAGAGTAGAGGGTAGGTAGGGTGATTGGCATGAGTTGGCATTTGAATAAGTGGATGGAAGAATGGATGGGATGAATGAGCAGTAAATAAACCTGTCCCAGAGGGCCTGCGAAGTGCAATTACAGAGAAATGATCTGTGGGTCTCTCGGTTATGAGCATCACCCTTAATCAGTATTGGTGGCTGATTCTTAAGGCTCCAATCCTAGAACTGCAGCATGCTGCCATCTGACTGCCATTCCTGGCAGGGATCAGTTGTCTAAAAACAGCAGGAAAGAACCCAGTTGCATTCAATTCTCAGAAAATTTTCACTGGCAAGAAAAGACAGACCCTTGCCCACAGGAGCGTGTGCCAAGCCTGCCAGGTTCTACCCAGAGGCCAAGGCCACCCTGCACATTGGTGAAGACAAGCAGGTCGGGAAGAGCAGAATCCCAGCAGTGCCCTGTGCAATGCAGATGAAGTGACTTGAGCCCCCAGGGAGGCCAAGGCCTGGCAAGGCCTAAGAGGCTCTCCCCACTAGGAACCTGGGAAAAAGAAAGAAGGGCAAAGTTTTCAGATGGATCGAGTTGGATCCAACCAGCCTGGGACACTTGGAGACCCCCCTTCCCTGCCCGGCACACCCGGGTTAACCAGCAGGAATTAGAAGTTTCCTCTTTCCACAGAGATAACTGGGTAGGGATGGCGCCACCTCTTAGCAATTAAGCCGGAGAGCAGAGGAGGCCTGAGGTACTGCTGAGGAGTAAGAAGAACTTGCATTTTCTGTGCAGGATCTCACTGTGCAGAATCCTCACCATGGCCCAGCAGTGGCTCCCTTTTATCACCACCCCAGTTTACAGACGAGGAGCAGAGGTGGCAGTAGTTCAGTGAAAGGGTCTGGAGTCACCCAGCCAGTGAGTGGTGGATCTGAGACGTGAGCCCCTGCAGCCCAGCCTGGCTGGCCCTGGGCTGAGCACTGCACATCGCTGCCTGGGAGGGCCAGGAGTCACCACCCTGGGAGAGATGTCAGTAGGGGCCACCTACAGGCTCAGGCGCGGCCCACAGGTGCTCCCGTGGCTGGTGCCTTCACACCTGGCTGTTCCTCCTCTGGAAAAGCTTGAGAAGAGTAGGAGCGCAGACTTTAGGATGCAGATGCACAGATGACCTCAGTGGAAGAAAGACAGCCGGTTAGTAGTCTGCTGTTGATAAGGACTAAAGAGAAAATCAGCATTCATGAATGGAATGGAGGTGTCAGGCTCAGCCACCCAGTCCCACAAGTCTCCCCAGAAGCCAAGGAGCCCCCAAGAAGACCAGCCAGGAGCATCGTCCAGGGCAGGCTTGGCTCAGCCCACTCTTAGGTCACCAGCCTGACCCAGGAGGACCAGGGATCCTGCCCAGAGCATTCCCTCCTCCCAGGAAGGGCCCAGTCACCACCTTCAGCCACCGCACCCACAGTGGTGCTGGGCAGACCTGCTGCACACCAGCCCCTTGCACCAGACCCTCGCTCTCAGCTCCTCTCTGCTTCTCTCCAACTGCCCATCCACACTCCTTTTACCCAGTCCCTTTGCACCTACTCTGCCCTCTGCCAGGCTGCTGTCCCCTTCCTTCCTCAGCCACCAAAGCCATCCAGGCCCAGGTCGAGTGCCACCTTCTATGGGGAGCTTCTGTGGCCCCTCCTGACCCCTACCAGGCAGAGCCGAATCAGAATTCCCCTCCCCTGCACTTCCTCGGCATTGTCCACACACCTCCATCTGAGCCTCAGTCATGAGTGACCGTGTGGCTGGGTTCAACCCAGAGGAGGGTCCTCCAGGGACAAAGGAAGGAGCCACCTCATTCCACCCTCACAGCAAGATGTGACAGGCACCCAGGCTAGGGGCCACCATTGTCCCAAAGGTCAGCATTGGCCTTGCAAAGGGAAACAGAGGCAGGCCAGCTTCTCTACGGACTGTGCTGGCCTCAGGACCAGTGCCACATGCACAAGGTCCTGACCTAGCGCTGGCAAGGTGACTGGAGGTCACAGTCCTGCCACGTGGAGGTCAGGCCTTTGTTCGCACTGGTGACTCCCAGTGCAGTGCAGCCAGTGGCAGAGGCCACCTCTCTGTGGGGTTCCTGCCTCCCTGGCGCACCTCTGTTCTCTGCTCCGCGGGCACCGGCCCCCACCTTCCTTGCTTCTGGAGCAGCGCGCCCAGGGGCTGCCAGGAGCAGGTGGCTGCAGGAAAGAGGGAGCAGGGCGCAGCTGTGGGCACCAGGCGAAAGCGCAGCGTGCCGGCGCGGGACCTCCATCTGTCTGACACTCTCCTGGCTCTGGTGACTAAAACGCTCCAGTGTCTGTCCTGCTCTGCGGGCTGCCCCTTCTCAGGAATCTTCTCAGAGATTCCTCTCTTCTGCCCCTTATGTGTGGGAGCCCACCTCTGGTGCTGGCCACTGACTTCCTGCTCCATCTTATCCACCCGACATGGTCGGCACCAGCCCATCCTCTCTGCCGTCCCATTCCCGAGCTCTGTGCCAGGGCCTCTAGATAACACTCCCCAAGGGCCACGGGCACTTCAGACTCAGGGTGTCCAAAGCACCTCCTCTTCCCCTTTTTACTTTCAAATCTGGGCAAAGTAGCCTAACCTCTCTATCTCAGCCAAGCCATCTATAAAACGGGACTTGAGGATCCACCTCAAAAAGTTATTGTGAGCTGGACACGGAGGCTCATGCCTGTAATCCCAGCGCTCCAGGAGGCTGAGGAGGATTGCAAGTTTGAGCCCAGCCTGGGCAACTTAGCGAGACCTTGTCTCAAAATAGAAAAATAATAATGGGCTGGAGATATCGCTCGGTGCAAAAGCCCTGGGTTCGACTCCCAGGACTGGGAAGTGGGGAGTTATTGCGAAGATTAAGTTAGTTAATACTGAGTCAGTGCTCTGTAACTGTGAATCATTTTCTCTCCCGAGGAAACCTGCCTGCAGGTCGCTGCCTTTCCTCCTGCCAGCAGCCAGCCTGGCCTCTGAGGCACTGACCAGCAGGCAGCCGGCCCCAAGGTTGGACCTGACCAGGCAGTCCTCTGCTCCACAGCCCTCGCTGGCTCCTGTTGTCCTCAGCACAGTGTCAGCCTGCTCCCTGCCCAAGGGGCCTTTCTGCAGTCTGGCCAGACAGAGAGGAGCCAGCAGATAAGGAGAAAGAGGGGAGGGAGAGGCTCCGTTTCTAAGATGGAAAGATGGAGAGCATTAAGAGAGACCTGGTGGCCTGCCGTCTGTTTCCCCCAACCTCACCCCGGGCCTCTTCATCTAGTGGGGGCACTGGCCCTGGGCACAGGTTCTCCTTTCTCCTCCCCAGCCTGTCAAGGACAGGATTGGGCTCAACAATGAACTGAGGTATTTCTTAATTTTGGCAAAAGAGGCGTAAGGAGATTTCACCTTCCGGGGAGTGCAACCCAGGGCCTCTGGAGGCCTGCACCTTTGTGTCTGCTGCACCTTAAGTCAGGAGGAGGGGGGGATTGGAAAAGAATCTGGGGGAGGAGCTGGTTTCTCCCCTGCCAGGAGCTCTGCCCAGCAAGGGGTCTGAAGCTGAACTTGGTCCCTCCAGATTGAGGTCTGAGCTGGGCAAGCACCTCAGGGCAGCCTCAGTTTCCCCAGCCTCTGAAAGGCCTAAGGGAAAGCAACCTGAGAAGAGAGGGTGAACAGCAGCTTGGGTTGGCCCCGCCAGCACTCTCAGGTCTAGAAGCAGCCCTGGCTTTCCCAGGGGTCCCTGGCTGGCAGCTCTGCCCCCCACGCTGCAGATGAGCCCTCCCCCGGGGACAGAGCCCTTGTGCAGCAGCCACAGGCTCCGGCTGCAGGGCCCAGCCGCCCTGCCTCAGTTTCCTGCTCTCATCTTTCCAGGGTTCCCTCCCTACATCCCTCCCAGTCATCCATCCTGAAGGGGAACAAATCTCTCCCCAGCTTCGTTTTTACAGCATGTTATTGAGTTCATTTTTCCTAGTGGAAAAGTAATACATCTTCATTGTAGAAAACCTTAAATATACAGGCAATATCAAGAAGAAAATAAGGGTCAAGATCTCACCATCTGGACAGAGCCTCCGTAATGGACGTGCTGGGAATACTTGCCTCTGAGGGCTTTCTCTGTGTCGACATATAACCTGGAGTCAGACCCGCACACAATTCCATATCTAGATTTCCCCACTCCTGTCGAATCCACAGTGGGAAGAGAGACTGGGGGAGGCACAGACTGAGCCTGTGCAAGCTGCTGGAATTCCATCTGCACACTTCACCAGGTGTGTGACCCGGAGCCTCAACCTCCTGGACTGTAGAATGGCTGAGCCCCAGCCCTGGAGGAGAGGAGTCTCCTGGAAGCCCTTCCAGGTGGGGAGGGCCCAAATCTAAGCCATCTTTGCAGCTGCCATGGCCAACCCTTACCAAAACTGGAGGGTGGGACTGCTTAGAAAGTAGGAGGCCAAGACATCCAGCTGCCTTCTACCCTGCTCAGCCACTGTGTGGCCTCAAGCAAGTTACTAGGCCTCTCTGAACCTCAGCTGTAGAATGAGAAGATTGTGCTCTAGCAGCATTCCCTGAGCAGAGTTATTAGGTAAGAAATTGGAGGTTCTATGGTCAAATGTTGGACAAGCACAGTTAACTGTGCTGCTTTGCTGCAGGACTTGTCAGAGCCTTTAGTAAGTTAATGTATTATTAAATAAACAAAAACACAGTAGAATGCAGGATGTGGAGTGGACAGATTCATTACAGAACCCCCTCCCCACCTACTGAAAGGAAATGTGGCAGGGAAGTGTAGGAAGGTCTGATCCCAAGCACCTCTGCAGCCTTCATTCCTGACCATGGTCTTCATTTTTCACACCCCTGCTCTCTTTACAGCCCAGTCCCTCCGGTTCACGCCACTCCTTTCTTATCTCCCTGCCTCGCTCACCCTGTTGAGCGCCCTCTTTCGGGCCACCCCTCTTCCTCTGGCCATTGTGGCAGCGCCCCCTGCTGGCTGCTATATCTCTCTTCCTCTACATCCCACCTTCTGACGCTGTAAAAACCCAAGACGCACTGCCGGGGACCAGGCTGTCCCCATGACAGGATCCCCTGCTTCTGCCCTGTGACCTGCACCCAGCACAGTGATAGCACTCACACCCAGAGCTGTTGCTGCTGCCGGGACACAGGTAGCGCTGTGTGGTGCGAGGATGGTCTGGTTGCGAGTCAGAGCCTCTGTGGCCTCAGATCGACCCTGGCCCTGGCCTGAGGCCCCGGCTGCTGGTCTGTCTCCCGCAGTGTCCGACGGGCACACGTACAGCCGCTCCAGCCACAGGATGCGCTCGGCCTGCAGCCCCACGGAGGACTGGCCCCCACCCTTGGACGTCAGCTCTGACGGGGATGTGGACGCCACGGTACTCAGGGAGCTGTACCCCGATTCTCCACCAGGGTAAGGAGGGCTCCTCCTGGGGGGCCCACAGAGGTGGGGCTCTGGACTGGAAAAACATCCCCTGTCAAGGGTAAGGGCGACTGGCTCTCCACCTCCACCGTACAAATGTAGAAGCATTGTGGGCATGGCCGTCTCCTTACCCCTGGGACAAGCAGGTCCCTTTGAGGTAGGTGACTCAGCAGATGTCACCAGGGTGCATTAATGAAGGAGACAAGCTCAGCTCCTTGAAGCTGCAGTAGGGTAGTAGGGGCTCGCAGTTTTGGGGGTGGTCCCTTGGCAGCTCTCCTAAACTCCCCGGGGGTCTGCTGCCCTGCTTGTCTCCCTGGGGGGCTTAGACTAGAGGGTCAGGTTATGCCGAAACCCACTGTCCTCCATCTGTAACACCAGGAACCCATCCTCACCCCTAAGGCCAGTCTGCCTCGGTGGCTGCAGATACAGCCAGAGAGCCCTCAGGCTTGGCCAGCTCTTGTCACCTGGTGGGTCCTGATGGGGGTGCGGGGTGGGGGGTCAGCCCTGCCTTCCAGTCCACTCCCGGCCTTCTTCACCCTACCCCCACCCCTGCCTCAGCCCTGGCCAAGCCCTGACCCCAATCAGCCCAGTGCAAGGTGCAGGGCTCTTAACCTCTCCCCCATCCATCCCGCCTGAGACAAATCTAACACTACTCCAGCTCAGGAAGAGCTCTGCTTGCCAGGGACCTCAGAATTCCTGGGAGGGGACCTTGACAGTGATCAGAAGCAGCCCCATGCTGGGCATGGTCATGAACACCTCTAATCTCAGCTACTCCAGAGGATGACACAGGAGGGTCACAAGTTCAAAGCCAGCCTGGACAATTTAGAGAGATACTTTGTCAAAATATAAAATAAAAAGGGTTGCAGATGTAGCTCAGTGGGAGAGTACCCCTCTGTTCAATCCCCAGTACCAGGGGGAAAAAGGAGAAGAAGCCCTGCATGGCCGTTTGCTTTAGATGAGCTACGAGGACAGAGAGAGTCCCTGGGGCCCAGTTCCTGACCTGAGGCCCAGACACAGGGCAGACTGAGGACTCGGCCTCAGGAACTATAGGATTTCTGTCCAACCGTCAGCCTCACCCCCAGACAGTCACAATATCTTCTCCCAACACCAGAAAGTCCCAGCAAGTAAATACTAGTTCTTCCTGCTTTACAAAAAGGCAGTGGGTCATGGACCTGAGGGAGGGAGTCCTGTCCAGTGCCCCTCTTCCTGGAGACCCCAGGGATGGTAGCAGTGAGAAGAGGAGGAGGAGGACAGGCAGTTTGCTGAACACTAGGTTCTTGCTCCCGGGGTGCGGGGTCCAGGCCCCAGCCCCTTAGCATAAGCCCTAAATCCCGGATCACATCACAGGAACACTCATGGGCCTGTCCAGGGGCACTTCTGGTGCGAGAGTTGAGCTCTCTCCTCCCAGCCACCCGCAGGCAGACCACCAGCAGTACTGAAGAGGGAAGAGGGGTCACCCGCTACCCCTTCCCTACCTGAAGACCCATCGGCCCCAGAGCATCATCCTCTGCTCCCCCGGGGGCACTGCGAGGGCACCCGGACTTTCTGCCCACACCTGTCAGCTCAGAGGGACCCCAGGGATTCCTTCCCCGCCTACAAGTGATTTGAGCACTTCCTACCCAGCCCTACCATACACAGCACCCTTGGGAGATCTCCTCAGGCAGGGGCTGCTCTTGTTCTGAGAAGCCTGAGACCCAGAGAATGAGTTCTCGGAGAACATGAGGACTGAGTGTTAGCCCAGATCTAGGGTATCAGGGCACCCCTCCCCAGAGAACAGTGGCGCTCATAGAGCCAGCATGAATGGGGCCCCCCTGGTCCACAGCCTGGGCAGCTCATCACTGCAATGGGAGATTGGGCCCCACAGGCCCCTAAGGCCCTGGGTTCGCAGAGCCCTGAGAGAACCTGTTCTTTCGTAGCTACGAGGAGTGTGTGGGGCCAGGGGCCACTCAGCTGTACGTCCCCACGGATGCACCCCCTCCCTACTCACTCACCGACTCCTGCCCCACTCTGAATGGCGTCCTCGACTTGGGCAGTGGCCCCAGCCCCAGCGCACACCAGCAGGAGCAGAGGACCGGGGCCCAGAGTGGCCTCCGCACCGTCTCCATGGACACGCTGCCCACTTATGAGGCCGTGTGTGGAGCTGGCTCGCCGTTGGGCCTCCTGCCGCTGCCAGGACCAGAACCAGGGCCAAGGAACTCACAGGGCTCAGCCACCCCTACCCGGGCCCCAGCCTCAAGCCCTGCGAGGATTGTGTGAGTGATCCAACCCACCGGTCCTGTTGGTCCCTCCAGGCTGAGCCACATCCTTCAGGCACACTCGGGCACACACACACACACACACACACACACACACAGGCACACACAACTCATGCATACACATTTACATGACCACACACACAGACACACACCCCATGTGCACACGCAGACATAGACGTGGCCCATGTGAGTGCGGACATGTGCATACACAGGCCCCCACACCCACACAAAACCTACCTGCAAAGGTTTCATTAAAAATGAAGGTCTCCTGGCCTCCCGCCCCCTCCTCCCCGACCTGCTGGTTGTGCCTCTGTGGACAGTGCTGGGCAGAAGGGTGAAGCAGAAACCAGGCTTTCTCTGCCTTCTCCCCCGGCCTCACCTGGAAGACAGCGCAAATTCTGATTCTGCCTCCAGAAACTGCTTGAGCACCCCGGGTCAGCTGCCTGCCCCGGCCCCTACCCAGGGCTTGTCCTCCTGGAAGGTGGGGCAGGCCCCAGCGAGGTCCTGCTGTGTGCTGTGCCTCTCTCTCAGCTGCAGGGCAGAAGAGCCCCAACATTACCACCCTGCCACTTACAGGGTGGGGACACAGGTCTGGGGGCACAGGGACCTGGGGTGGGGACAGCCCACCAGGCCCCTCCCTAACCCAGCACCCTCAGGCTGGTGGTGCTAGCGGAGCTATAGCAGAAGCCCACCCCAAGCTGCAGGGGGTGGTCGGGGCCCTGGGTGGGCGTGTGGTGGAAGAGACGGGTTACAGTGGTCCGCACGTGGTCTGAGCCCTGCCCAGAGCAGTCTTCAGGGAAGATAAGGCCAGCGCCGTTGCCCAGGTAGCCTCACCAAAGTGCTGTGGGCATCACTCTGAGGCAGATGAGGGCCCCTGGCAGAGTGTATACTCAGCCAGCCACAGTGGCCTGAGCTCACAGGGACTAGAGCCACACCTCAGGCGCTGTCAACCTGCGTGACCGCTACAGCTGGGGACGGTGAGTCAGCGCATTCTGGCCTTGACCCTCCAGGGTGTTCGCAGAGAGAAACTAAAGGGGGTATGAGCGCCATAAACACCATCATGCCACTACCAGAGGACCAGTGCCTCAGCTGTGCCGCCAGGGTCCTCCCACAGCAAGGGGTGTGTGGTCAGCCTGGTTGGAGAAAGGCTCAGAGCTTGGCCTGTGAACTCCGGCAGTCCCCATCAGAGGCCATGTAGGGAAGAGCGTGATTCCTGAAGACCCAGGCCGCCAGGGGTGACAGCCAAGCATCTCTGAAGAGTGTCCCTGCCAGCGGGGAGCAGGTAGCCCTGGCTCCCTCCCATTCCCCCTTTGTCACTCCCTACACACGTTTCGTTTCCTCCAATGAAGGGCTAAGACAATTCAGTAATCCCTTTCTTAGCAGAAGGGTGGTAAGAATGGTGATCTTGAATTTTATTTTCTGTAGAAATAGCATTTCTTCTGGTGCAGAGCTGAAAGGAATCCACCCAGAGGGTCTGTCTGTAGCGTCCTGCCTATTGCAACGTGGAGTCCCAGACTCCAGCTGGGGGAGGGACATTGTTTACAAGCAGTTCTGTCCACCTTTGTGGTGTACTGTTTTCTAGGCAAAAACATCTGTCTGTTGTACTGTATAGCCTTTAAAATGCACCCCAGGGATGAGACTCTTTCAGGAAATGCATCCTGCATCTGCGATTTGAGCGCGGGGAGAAGATAAAAATCCCTGCCTACTCATCAGTGTTTGAGGGATGGAGCTGAGCAGCTTTTCTTGTTCCTGGACCAGGCGCTGAATAAGCAACAATGTATCTTTTCTGTGTTCAAAATAAATATATCAATAAAAATGTAGCAAGAAGTAAGGCTTTCAAGAGTGCATGGGGGCTCATGGGCCAGAAACCTGGAAGGGAAGGAAGCCTCAGACAGCAACGATCTGAAAATATGGGTCCCTTTAGCAGGCATTCCATGCCCGTGACATCGCAGGATTAAGTCACTGAAGTGTCACTTTCCTGCTGGAGCGGCTACTTGGGTAACAAGAGTTGTCTAGGAGGGGTTCCTGCTTTGCTTTTGGAGCTCACAGAGACGTGGAATCCTTTCTCTGAGATTTGACTGGTGTAAATATCACTACAGTGGGCCATCAGCTTCAGGACTTAACTCCAGGAACACTGGAACCACACTTTCTACTTTAACAACAGTTGGCTTTCATCACCCAGATGACATATACTACCAGGAGAGGGGAAATTGTAATTAGATTGAAATGAGTTGTTTACTCCCACTCTAAAAATCCTCCTCTTCTTTTCTGTGCTGTCTCTGAGACGGTGACCTTGACTGCCAATCCCACTGGAGGAGTAGAGGACAATGTCCTGCTATCTACGCTCTGAGCCCACACTGCCACCTGCTGGCTGCCTGCTGCCGCTGTCCGTGTGAACCAGACGCCCTTGAATCTGAAATCCTTTTTCTCCCACTTGGAGTACCACTGCCCATGGACACGCATAGCTGTAGACAAAATGTACCGCTTTGGTTAAGGCTTGTCTTTCACTCAGCGTGTTCCATGAGGCTGAACCCATTTAAGCATTCCGTTTGCAGGACGAATGCTTATCCTCCAGCCCCTCTCTCCAGGCACAGCCCGATGCCTCTGCCCCACTTCAGTATGTAAAGTAACCCCTCTTCTGTTTTCAACACTGTTATGCATAGATGAGGTGTGACTTCCATGATCCAGGCTCCTCCTCCCAAAAGGAAGGTAGTAGCCTTCGTGGTGATGGAATCTAGCCTCAAGCTGTCCCAAACCACACACCTGTTCCAAACAACAGGATCCCTCAGTCCTTGGGATTATTGGGCCCTTGGTCCTCCCTGTTTCCTCATCCATGGCATGCCCTGTGCTGTGAAATGTCCACGTAAGGCACCACAGGTGAGGTCCTCTGTACATTCTGACAGAAACACCAACCTTCTCTCTCTGCAAGGGGCCTGAAGGGTAAAGACTGAGGAAAACACTCCCTCGTACTTGGGCTCAGCCTGATTCACCAAGGCCCCAAGAAAACAGGAGATGAGGCTACATCACCAGCACATGGGCCAGAAACCTGGAAGGGAACAGGAGGGGCAGGGCCAGACCCTGGGACCAGATGTAGATACAGTAGGCTGGTTAGGGAGCTGATCTCAGGAGTGGGAGGGGAAGCAACCCAGTGAGTATATTATCAAGCAGGTTACCACTAAGGACCACCATGTTCTATCCCACTGGTGACTCTGAGAGACAGGGTCAGTCACACCTCAAGTCAGCCTTCCCATGGGTGTGGGAGATAAACTAGTTCTATACCAGCTCTCAGTGGTCATTGTTTGGAGGCTGCTCTTTGGAGAATACTAATTCTTACTGTGGTGCACGCCAGGTGGGCCTCCCACATCAAAGAAGGTCTTGTGGGTGGGTAGCTGCAGCTGCTGAAGCCATTGTGGCAGGTGACATGAGCTTCACTTCATGAAGCTTCACTTCAGCACCATTGGACCATGATTTCCAAGGTCTGTAGACAAGGCACCAACAGCATCTGTTGCATCAGGCAACAAGCATCAACCAAGATGGGAAAGGGGTGGATAAAAAGAATGGCTGTCCACAGCCACCACATGGGACATCCACCATCACTCCTGCCAAACCTGCAAGCATGTCCATACACGGGGTCTCCCACACCTAATTCCTAGAGACACCCCAGACACACACTCATGCATAGCATCATCACTCATCTAACTCCTATGCTTTCGTGCCACTTGCTCAGACAGCTTCAGTGCCTGTCACACTTAGAGCTCACATACTCAGAGTCCTTCCTACATGCACACTCAGGTATTGCACACTCTAGTGCTGCCCACCCTTACATTCAGGTGTAAAGGCCTGGGCATGAACAGTGGGAGGAAAGGCAGCTTCATCACAGGAGGAGCGAATCTTCTGTCCTGGGCTGTGCTCTGCTTGACCTCACATTGCACCCCCCAAGCCCAGGACCCAGCACATCTCTAAATATCCCCAGGAAGGAACTCTGCAAATGTGATTAAAACTTTAGAATGAAGCAGGTAGGACTTAGGTGGCCGGGAACATGCAAACCATGGAGGGGCTACAAGCCAAAGAATGCAGGTGGCCTCTAGAAGCTGGGAAAAGCAAGGAAATGCCTTCTGTCCTAAAGCCTCAAAAAGGAACTAGAACAATGCAATTGACTGATTTTGAACTTCTGATCTCTACAATTATAAGATAATAAACCTGTGAACTTTGTTGTTGTTGTTTTTAGTTTTTTGTTTTGTTGGTACAAGGAATTGAATTCAGGACCTCGCTCTTGCCAGGCATGCACTGTGCCGCTGAGCTATATCCCTGGCAAACCTGTACACTCTGAAGCCACGAAATTTGTAGGCTCTTGTTACAACAATTGAAAACTAAATCACTTTAATTCCAGACTCAATTCTGGCTCTTTCTGAATCCGCCTCTTGCTTTACAAAAGAGAGGAAGGAGAATTTGGACAAGTGATGGGCAGAGACCTCTCCAGCCTTCCGTGACCCCAGCTGTGATGATGTCAGCCCTCTTCCCACCCTCTCCCACATTGGACCTGACCTATGTCTGCAATTCTGGGACAGGAGTCAGGAAAACCAAAGGAAGCCCAGGTGTGAGCATGGACTAGCTACCTACCCTTTCTGGGTTCAGGATCAGATGAGCTCATGTGTGCAAAAGAGTAGCACCCCCAGTATTGGACAAAACTAACTCATCCAGAACAACCTATGGGACAGAAAGTCAAAGGTTTGCATGGGGAGTGGCCTGATGCTATTCAGTGGAGCATATGTTTTCAACTAGGACTGGGGAATAGCCTCCCAGTCAGGTGATAGGAACTTCCCTGGCCACTGAGTTCAGAAAACATCGCAGGACACAGAAGAGTTGGGGACAAGAAGCAAAGAAACCCTGGACCTGGTGAGCCCCAATCAGAGGCAGCTCCAAAGCCAAGTACCCAGACCAATCTCCTTCCTGGTGACTTGGGGAGCCAGGTGCCCAGCAGTATTTCATAGAGAGCAAACAGTGATCAAGAATCAGGTCCTCAAGTCCTGCAGTCACAAGGCAACAGCCACTTCCTGCTTGGAGCACAGGTTTCCAGGCTGTGAGCCATCTGTGGACAGGACCTTTACTCACTGTCTTTTGAATGCTCCAGGCCAGCAGGCTTGGACACAGGATCTGGGCATAAATAGCTCATTTGGGAGGTAACACCAGGAAGCCATGAAGGAACTGAGCTGAGGAAGGGAGGACAGCCAAGAATGGGTACGTTCGGGAGCAGATCACCACTCTGGGCTGGCTCCCCCAGGACTTTGAGAGACTGCAGAACACACCTCAGAACTGTCCCCCAAAGCAGGAAGCTGGGGTTTCCCTGCTGGTCCTTGGCTGGCTGAGGCTTGGCCCTGAACGTCAGCTGCCTGGCACTTCCAATCTGTCTGCCAACCTGTGGCTGAGAACTCTTGCACATGAGGCATGAGAAGCCTCGGTGATGACATCCCCAGGGCTTAGGGAACACAGCGGATGCAGATGGGGTGTCCAGGTGGCAGGCACTTGTAAGCCAGTCTCTCACCTTTGTTTTGGAGTCCAAGCAGGACACAGCCGGGCCTAGGCGCTGTTCTTCTGGGAGGTGATGGGGACAGGAGCAGAGCACAGACTCAGTGACTCTCCAGAGTAACAAACTGCTGCAGGGCTGGCGCCACAGCCTTCTCTTTTGCACACACACCTTCCTTCTCAGCTTCCTGATGGAGGTGGGGCCAGGCTGGAGGCAGGCAGGCCCCATCCATTCTTCCAAGTGCCCAGCCTGGTCTGGCCAGGGGAGACCCACAGGACTCTCCTCCCCTCCGACTCTCTCGGAGCTGCCATGAGCAGACCCCAAGTCCCAGAGGAGGTTGCTCTGAAGACCCTCCAGGGTCACCTCATCAGCTACTACCAGGAGAAGGTGGAGGAGGGCCAGCTGGGGGTCTGCAGGCAAGCAGCCCTCACCCAGACAGCCAAGAAGCTCCTGGGAAGGGAGGTGCCTTCTTGGCTCCATCTGGGTGGCAGCTGCTTGGGGGCGCCCAGCCCTGCCCCCAACATCTGTCAGGTGCTTGTGCAAGCACTGGAGTTCCTGGAGCTCATCTCCATTGATCTGCTTCTGTTTCCCTGAAGGAAGGAAATCAGGTCCCTGAAGGCAGGCACTGTCCTGCACCTGCACAAGGGCATTCCAGGTAGGGGTGCACTCCCCTGGGGAAGAAGCATGCCCAGCACACCCATCTGGCCCCATTTTACAAGGCTAAAGAAGTGAATGCAACTTGTCCATAGCAGACAGCCAGTAAGTAACACAAAGGCTCCTAACCACTAGGCAGCACCGCACGTCTGCAGACAGAAGGAAGCAAATTGCTCATAATAACCAGGGAGGAATCTGGCTCTGGAAAGGTGCTGAAGAGTCCCCATCTCTTCCAGGTTTAGCCCCACTGCTGGGCTGGAAGTCAGGATAGCGGGAGTGTCTGCCCCTACCCAGGCACTCTTGCTATGTGATCTAAGAAGGTCCTGTTTTGTCTTTGAGCCTCGGTGTACCCTTCTGTAAGATGGGACAGAGGATAACATGCTCATGGACTAGGCTTTCCTTTGACCCAAATGTCCTCACACACCAGCTTCTGCAGTGTCCTTAGATATCGACCCTTGATCCTGCTGGCCTAGATCCTCTCAGCCCCTCTGCTAGGCCTGTCCCACCTCTAATAAACACCCCTGTTTGTTGCAGATACACACTGGGAGCTTTACCTACTGGGTGTGCCCTTGGCTTTCCAAACACACGCTGGACACAATTCTGGGCAGGCTGGGCTACACGGCCATCTCCGAGATAGTTTTCACTGATC